TATATAAATAAATATAAAATAAAAAATATTTTTGTAAATAAAATTATAAAATATACATTAAAATAAAGATTTTTCAATTATTATATATAGTGTATTTGATTCAAATCATGGATTCAAATCAGTTATTATTATAGATTCGAATCAGTCAGTTTGAATCAAATCAAATCAGTTCAAATCGAATTATATATTCAAATCAGTTCAATTGAATCAAATTATATATTCGAATCTGTTCAAATCAAATCAAATCAAATAATCCAAATTCAAATCCATTCAAATCAAATTATATATTTGAATCAGTTCAAATCGAATTGAATTAAATCAAAGTACAATTCGGATTCAATTTGAATGAAACAAATCAAAAATTAAGTGATTCAATTCAATTCAAATTGGTTTGAATTTCATTGATTCATTTGGAGCCTTAAAAATAAAGTGTACAAGTTTTTTTGTGAAAAAACCATTTTTTATATATATAGTAAAAAGTATTTGTGTAATGGATTTGTTAAATTTCAGAACTGGTGATCTCATCTACAATTGTGTTGGACCCCCATTAAATTAACTAACCCCTAGTACTAGCTATTTCTATATTATTATTGTCCTACTGATATAACTACTACAAAACTTAATCAAGTCAAAATTGCATAATTCTCTTAGCACAAAAACATATCCTTAGATGTGTGTATATATATTTTTTAAAGTTTTAAAATGGTTGGTTTCACAATAAAATAATTTTTCTATTGCCGGAAAAGTGAACATTTGTATTACCAAAAATTTCAGGGATTAAATTAGTCATCATGACCCCATTTGTTATCTCCCCTCCCAAGTATATTAATATAGTAATAGAACTACAATGATGCAACAGAATTCCAGGGGGATGCAAAACTCTGGAGTTTACCAAGACTGCACTAATCAATCAATGAAGTTTTCACTAATCTTCCTCACAGCACCTAGACCAGAGAAGGCTGCTGACATGTTAGACAAAAAATTGCCTGTAATGATCCTACTCTAAAGGCTGCAGCATTTTGAAGTTGTAACATTTAGGCATCCTTCCACACAACAATAAAACATTATAATTCATTGAGAGCACCATGCATAAGTATATGCAGTACCCTCATGAACAATGACTAGCTGAGATCCCCAATGTCAGAATTAGTAACAGTATTGTTAGAAGCCAAAGGGCTTTCCATCTTCCTTGATGCCATACTCTCCAGCATTACACCAAAAGATGTTAATTTCATGAAAATTATGATTTTAGAATTTTTTTTTTAAATAATTATTCTGAAGGATGACTTATAACTCTTTTTTAAAAAAGCAATAAAAGCCATCCTTCATTTTCTACAAGTTAACTTAACACTTGACACACACATTAGAGAGATCCAATATATATAGAGTTGTATTATAAACATGGAGATATGAAATTCCTTTTGATTTATTTTCACACACAACAGAAGTCATATGCTTTATTCATTGTTTGTTCCAATTTTCAATTGAATGCAGCAGAAAGATTACACAATAAGCATATATTATGGAATTTATTTTATTGACATGAAATAATAGGTGGGAACATTTATAACATTAACCATCAAATCAATAAAGATAAATATGGAGTTGTCCTTGAATCACTGTTAATCATAGATCCTTCTTGTTCAACCACATGAAGATGAAACTCTTCCCTTATGAATTAATAATGTTAATTGTTGTCATGTGGCAACTGTTCTCCCCGTTATACACATGACCATACTGATAAGGTAGGTAGTAAATTATTTTTCCGACTTTCTTTTCTTTTTAGGTTCTTTCATGGCTTGTTTTAATATTCTTTAGTTCGTGATCCACGAATGAAGCAGAGAATTCTTGTGATCGGCGGTGCAAAAATGGTAAAAAATCATCAGTTGACAATGTTTAACAAATAATAAAGCACGATGTTTTGGTATTACAAACTTTATTCTTTTTATGTATCAAAATATTAAAGGGCTTGGAATGTTTCTTGAGATTTCAAGAAGTTCATAACATATAAAAATTTGGAATTTTTTAATTTTCAGCCAACACTATCAAGTATTCTGACCAGGGCTATACATTTTTTTTCAACAAAAAAACTTTTATTTTACCAAATGAACCAATATTGTTATAAGTCAAGTCAATAAAATAACTGAAAAAGAATTTTAAAATAGTATTCAACGATCTTGAAAGAATTCTAAGGTTGTTCTTTATACTTTTTGTTTAGACATGAGAGTTAATGTCGATCATTTCTCTGATTCATTCGCGAATCAATAATTTATCTTTCTTGATAAATTTCACGGGTAATTTTCCCTTTCCTTAGATAAGTTTCCATTGTCCAAGTATCATTTTATTTTGAAACATAAGGATAAATTTTTTCTCCTTGCTCTTTCTTCTAGCTATACTATAATTCTTGGGTTCCGTAGCAGATATGATATTTTTATGCAGAAGCAAAAAATAAATATTATGCATGATTTGAACCCTGAAATTCTTGGTAATACAAATGTTCGCTTTTACTTTTTTGCAGCACGCCCACATCCAAGAAAATTTTTTAATCTTTAAACCAACATAGGTTTTCTTGCCATATGTCTTCTTCGCAATATCAATCAATCATTATTTGAAAGTTGGATTTTTCTCAAATAAAAATAAAAATCGTCACGTGAAATGATAAATTTTTGAAGATTATCATTATTTATATATATAGAGAGAAAAACATTAAATTAACAATAAAAATATAACAAATTAGAATTAAAAATGTCACCAATTAGAAACAAAACAATTTCAAGAGTTTTACAACAAGAACTCGATCCAAAAGATATGCCAGAAACTGCATTTATTATTTTCTTTTCTTTTAAATATAGAGAGGCATTAGATTATATGTTTTTTTGGCCAGAGGTATTTATTAACATCATTATTGTTATTGTTTGTGTGATAATTACTCTCTAACAAATATATTAAAAGGATTTGGAAGAAGCACTTTGTAAAAATGAAAGAGATGAAATTTTGGAAAGATTATTGTTATATTTTCTAAAGAATCTAAAGAATCAAGACAAACTTATCGAGTAAAGTATAGATTTATTATTAAATATCTTTTTTAACATAAGAAATTAATATTTACGAATAATTTTTCATTGATTAAAATTTAGTCCAATTTCTTTACATAAAGAATTAGTGAGCTATATCGATACCACTATGCAAGAAGATAAAGATACTTACACCAGGGTCAATCCTTTAAAAAATGTGGAGAATTTTTATAAATTATCAGTTCGTGACAAGGTTAAATAATATTTATATCAATGAGTGATTTATTGTTTATACCAGTGAGTGATTTGATAAGTAATAAAGATTTCATTATGTCTATTTTATAGGTTCAAATATTAAAAGATATGGTAATTAAACAATTTTATGTTTCCACAAAAATCAAAGAACTTGCCAAAGCAAGATATCCAACAAGCAAAAGAAACAATACTATTCCATTTGACGTTGAGAAATTAGGATCAGACTCTGATGGTTCTAAATATTATTATGTTGGAAGTAAGTTTTCTAATTTGCAGGAAAATAAATATAAATATTATATTTCGTGTAAATATTAGTCCTTTATTCAAATATAACCTTATGATAGTTGGATCTAGGATTTATAAAGAATCTATCGTCAACGACAATAACGTTTCATGGAGTGTTAGTACTACGACAGTTGAAGATGTATCAAACCTTGAGAAACATTTTGAGAAGCGACTTATGGGAATTCCACCCGATCAACAACATACCGATGAAAAGTCTTTTTATCAAAATTTACAAACTATTATTTCTCCCATTATATGGCAAACTTTAGAAAAAGTATGTATATCAATATTTAGAATATTAAAGACGCATATAATGTGCATGTAATAATATTTTTTCTCCACTAGGAACAAAAACTACCAAGAGAAACAAGATTAAGAATATATAAATTACGTCAAAGTCAGCTCATACAGAAAAAAATTGAATTATCAAAAAAGGATAACTATAGTGAAATTATTGAATCGTCGTCGTCGTCATCATCATCATCACCAACACTATCACTGCAATCGTCATCAACAACACCATTGCAATCACCATCAATTACACAACAACATCAACAGCAAGACGATTATCAAAATGTGACAGATGAAAACATATCTCCAGTTCATGAAAAAAATAAATCAGAATCTTTACCTCTGCGTGAAGATGGTGGCATTCTTGAAATAAACGCAAATGCAAGTGTTGCTGGTGTGAGTAAGAAACGAAAATCGATTATTAGTAAAGAAAGTGCATCGACTCAATCCATAATAATAAATGATAATGATAAGTTGTTGAATGAAGAAGATCGTAAAAAGGAAAGTATTATTATTGCATCGTCTCCAAAAAGAGCTACAAGATCGGAACAAGATCAATCCACTACTATCATGGAGTCTTCTAAAAAAAATAAAAAAAGAAAGGTGACAAATAAAGAAGTTGAATTTGATTCAATAACGCTATTATCACCTGAAAAAATAGAAAAAAATAATTTAAAATCCAAGAAAAATAATTCTCCAAAAAAAGGAAAAAATCTGGGTAAAATAAAATCTGGAACCAATAATAATAATACTTTGCAAAATAAAAAATCAGTAGTAATAGTACCAGTAATAGTAGTTGGCTCATCTAATAAAAAAATTCATATACCTAACAGTACTGAATTACAAAAACTCAAATGGTCACTTAATCATCGATTTTTTCTTGAGGAGGAAGCAAAATATGACGAATCAGAGATTACTGATGCAGAATTATCATCATTGATTGATTGAGAATATAGTTTTTCTGTAATATTCTTTGATTACTAATATAAATATTTTCTTCTATCAACCTTCTCTTCCCTCTTTTTCTTTTATTTATATTTGATAATCAAAAGTGCCCTTTTTTTAATTGATATTAACGATCGTGATATAAATAAAACTCGAATTTAAATATTAAAACATAGATTTTATATTATATGATGACAACAATCCTCTAAAAGTAAATAGAGTTTTATAATATACAACTACACACCTTCTTTATAATCTTTATCAAAATAACATAATTATATGGGACAACATTTGTTGCACAATATGTAAATTTGGTTGTCTTTTGTTGGTCAAAAACTTCAAACACTCTTTATGTGATTACGATAGCTAATGGTTTTTACAGTTATAGCAACTCGCCATTTTTTTCACAATAGTGATATTTATTAAGTGTTCGCTCTCTCAAAATCAAATTAACAATCTAACGAATAAAAATATTTTACTCATGTTCACTTTAAAAGCTTTGACTGTAAGGTAAAAGAGCTAGTCGCTTTATTGAAAATGTCTCTAATAATTTATAAATAATTATTTATTGTAAAATTGAAAAGAAACAATATTAATCGTAATAATAACGATGATAAAATAATTAAACATTATAATAATTATAATATAAAAGAATGATATTATAAAGTTAATTCCTTCATCTATTCATCGATTCATTCATTCATAGTCTATATGTTGTATGTAATGCATGCATGTATTGTTAATATTAATATATAATACGATGGTTTCTTTTCCTTTTTCTTCTTTTTTATTTGTTTATTTTCTAACCATCTCTTTAAATCTGATCCATGAATATAATCCTGATCCAAACAATGCAAGGAAAATACCTGTACCATTCTATTTTAATATTAAACGAAAAATAGAGAGGAAAATATAATAAGATTATTGTTGTTATTATTATTATCATAATTATATAGATAAAGCAACATGGTCAGGACTTGTCATCTATAAATTCTTACCATTGGAGAGATAGGATTTTGGAAGTACCAGGCTGCCAAAGCAGTTTGCACACAACTCTTTGCAGTGCCAGAGATGGTATTTGTTAACGGTGTAGTGAATTTAATTTGTAAAAACATTGCAATGTTGATGATGAATCCTGTGATACCAGTAAGTGTCATTAAAAACCAAAAACCAAATTCATGCAAGAAATATACATCTGCAATTGCTTTTAATTCACCGGATAACAGAACCATTGGGAACAAGAAAAATATTGATATCGTTGTATTATAATGAAGAAGTCTCCTATTAATTTTATCAAAGTGCATGATGGAAGATTATTATTAGTAAATGTATAGTAATTATAATTATTAGTAAATGTATAATTATTAAACTGTATAATAATTATAATTATTATATTTACCATTGATTATTATCAACATGCACAAGTGTTTTCTTAACATAAATACCATAAAGTGCAACAAACGCACTTGAGGCAACTCCATAAATTATTCCTTCCCATGAGAAATTTAATTCTCCATAAGACCCTATAGCAAAACCTATAAACACTATACCACAACTGATTAATGCTGCAAATGATGTTTTTTGTCCAAGTAAAGTGTATGTGAATATTATATTAAATATAATTGATAACGATCTTGCTACCTAGAAACATTTGAATAGATTATGCATGTTAGAGAGACTTTGAGATTATTATCATTTAATATTTATTTACCTGATAAAAAGTAACCTCGACATATTGTAAACATAAATTATTGAAAGCCAACATCATCACATACATAAATGTCAATGGCATAACTTTTACAGCAATACCAAGATCAAATTCATGTGGTGGAATTATTGATAGTGCTTTAATTCTATCATCAGTAAATAAAAATTATGTTTATATACTGTTATTAAAATAATTTTTTAAAAGAGTGCGAGAAAAAAAAACAAGCGTATAAACAAACGTACCTTTTACCAAGACTACCCCAGATCACTAACACTACTAAGGCTATCATCAACTGATACCATGTTACAAACAGTGGATAGGGGAATTTATACTCTGAAGTACTAAGAATAAATTTATTTAAAAATACAAGAGATAAAGAAGCTGCCCAATAAAAGGCCACAACTGATAAAATTACTGTGGCCGAATGATTTTTTTGATGATGAGAATAGGCTGAAGTGGTGGTGGTTGCTGGTGGTGGAAGTGAAAGTTTCTCATCGATATTTTTTTCATCAGGAGAAACCATCTTTGGTTATTTATTATTTGGTGGTGGTAATGGTTGTTATTATGGTATTATTTGTCAATGTTTGTTCCTTTTACTCACAAGATTGAATATTTTTTTAAAAAAATAAAAAAAGATAGTTGTCTTTATTATTAATAATATATATTAAGCTATTCTTTTTATTTATATTAAAAATTTAAATTTTTCCAAATTAGGAGGTATTTTATATTTTGTACTACAAGGGATGTTAAACATAAAGGTTGAAAAAGACCTCGGAAAATACATAGAAAGGTTACTATGGAGCATATCACCTTGTAATAATAGTTATGGCCAATTTTCAATAAAATGGAGATCTTAACTAACATGAAAACACCCAATTCACAAAATAAATATGCTCGTGCCATAGTGTTAAAAAAGGGAAAGTAATTTATATAAAGTGTTATAACAATAAGAAACCATTCCGGGACCTCTTAAACCACCAATTCTGTGTGTGATTTTTAAAATAATAGAAGTTCATTTCTGTATATCATTTTTAAAAAAATAGCTCTGTTATGACATAGATTAGGACCCAAGCTTTAACGTGACAGAGAGTTTTTTTCAAAATATTGATGGGTTGTTGAGTTCTATTCCTTTTTAGTACATGTATTTTTTACTACAGTGCGGATCATCTATACTCAAAATTTTTTTGAAATATTATGTGATCCACACATTGGATTTTAAAAAACTCACCATTCAATTCAGCTTTAAAAAGGGAATCTATTAATCTAAAAAAAAATTTGTCTCAAATTTTCTTTTCATAGATTTTTTAAATTTGAAAGTTATGCTCAGGAGTGCAACAATAATTTTCATGTTACAATATTTTGAATCTCACGATCAAATTTGACAATGATTTTCTTTTAATGTAATATATTCGCTAAACTTTTTTAAAAAAGGAAATAAATAAATAGCCACTTATTAACTGTTGCACTCTGGGTGAGAGTTATTAATAATTTTGCCAATCAATCCCAGTTATAGATGGCGTCTAAATTGTTTTTGGGATTGTCTAAAGTCAAAATAGTATTTAGACAAAAATGTCTAAATGTCTAAATTAATATAA